CAGCGCCGATGACCTGCGCTTGCAACTTCCCCCGCACAGTGAAGGGGATCTGCTCTCGTCGCTGGAAACTGGTTGAGGTGTCGCAAATTTCCTCGGACATTGAACCGATGGTTGTGAGCCATGAGGACAGCTCCCTTTCTCACTGTGGCGGGCTGGAGTGTGCATAGTTTCTGCAAGGCAGTTATAAACGAAAGCAAGGAAGGAGTAAGAAAGCGGCAATCATATCCGGATCTGGCACAAGGCCCTGTCTTGTTATATTCCTGCTTTGGTACGACACCCGCCGGTCTAACGGTGCACCGCAGACACCACGCCCGACCATCTGATGATCCGACCGCACACCCATTCGACCATCTCGTCACCACCCTGATGTTGCACCACGCCATCCGATGGTCGGGCTTCGATGCGACACCCTACCACCCGATGGCGGGGCTTCAACGCGACACCCCACCACCCGATGGTCGGGCTTCAACGCGACACCCCACCACACGATGGTCGACGTTCACCTCTCCACCCGACCGTCGTGCCATTGGGCCTTCTATCATTCGACCATCCTGCCTTCTACCATCGTGCCATTCGACCGGCCTAACCTGAACCGTGCACCTTCAAACGTCCAGCCGCACAACCGTTCGACCATGTCGCCGTCACCCCATCGTTGCGCCGCACCATCCGATGCTCGGGCTTAAACGCGACACCCCATCATCTCATGGTCCGGCTTCGACGCGACAACCCACCATCCGATGGTCGGGCTTCAACGCGACACCCCACCATACGATGGTCTAGCTCCACCGCTCCACCCGACCGTCGTGCCGTCCTGCCATCCCACCACCCGACCATCCGACCATCCCACCACCCTCCCATCCTCCTATCCGCCCATCCACGCATCCTGCCATCCTCCCATCCTTCCATCCTCCCATCTTCCTATCCTCCCATCCTCCCATCCTGCCATCCTGCAACCCTTCCATCCTACCATCCTGCTGCCCTACCATCCTCCGATCTTGCCATTCCGCCATCCTGCCACCCTCCCATCCTGCCATCCCACCACCCGACCATTCGACCATCCTCCCATCCCACCACCCGACCATCGTGCCGTCCTGCCGTCCCACCACCGACCATCCGACCATCCTCCCATCCCACCACCCGACCATCCTCCCATCCGACCATTCGACCGTCGTGGCGTTCTGCCATCCCACCACCCGACCATCCTCCCATTATCACATCCTCCCATCCTCCCATCCGACCGTCGTGCCGTCCTCCCCTCCCACCACCCGACCGTCGTGCCGTCCTGCCATCCCACCACCCGACCATCCGACCATCCTCCCATCCCACCACCCTCCCATCCCCCCATCCTCCCATCCTGCCATCCTCCCATCCTCCCATCCTCCCATCCTCCCATCTTCCCATCCTCCCATCCTCCCATCCTCCCATCCTCCCATCTTCCCATCCTCCCATCCTGCCATCCTGCAACCCTGCCATCCTGCCATCCTGCTGCC